GGGGGGGTGAGACTCGGTTTAGCTTCGCGAGATCGTAGATTTGATAGACGTTGGAATTTATTTTGATAAACGTCACATTATTTTCGAATTTATTTTTGATAAACGACATGAAAGAACCGCTATTCTCCCGAGCCAGATAAGGCTCGAAAATTAAAGTGGCAACTACGTAACAAGAATGGCATGAGATAGATGGCTTCGAAGAAGAGATATTTTGAAGCCCGTCATCGAGAACAAATGCCGTCGAAAGTGAACGAGCTTGCGGCAAGATTTGAAGCTTGAATGTATAAAAATACTGTTTATTAGATCAAATATATTATTATTATTATTATTAGATTCAATATATTATTTTCGCTGAGATTGATCGCCTAAAAACTTTTTTTTTTTTTTTTTTTCGAAAATGCTGAATGCGAAAAGAAATATTTGTTGAACGCGCGAGGAAACAGCCAATTCGTGGCGACCGGTTAATTTTTAGCTTCCGTCCCTCAATTAGACGAGTTCCGGACGAAGCGCTTCAGGACCAGCGTTCGACCTGATCCGCGAAAAACTATCCGTAATAATTCTTGGACAGTAATTCTTATGTAACAGAATGCCTAGCGGGGACGAGCACGATAATGGTGCGTCGGTATGCGTCGTACACGACTTTCGAGTCAGAGAGCAAGGGGGATTACCGTTAAGCTCAACTTCCGCTTTATCCCGTAAACCTAATCTCGCTCTCGCATCGGTCGTACGACAGTTTTCGAGACGCTCGCCAGACGTTCTTACTCGCGCGCGCGCGCGCGCGCCGCGATGAAAGTTTGCGCGAGCAGGCAGGTACAAGGACAGGTTTATCTCGCGCGAACGTGACGCAGGATCGCTTTATTTGCCCTTCCACGCCCATTGACATCAATTTAAAGTCAAGCCGAGACGCGCTCGGGCGACCGGGGGGTCCCTCCCGAGCAGCCGATTACCGTCGCGCCGGGCACCGTCGAGTACCCTTCGCTCTTCGGCGCGGCGGCACTCGCTCGCGTCAGCGGGCGACGCGCGAAGTGATTATAAAATAAATAAAAAAACAATACTCAGAAAACGCGTCACCGCCTCCTCGTCGCGTACGCGCGACCGACACGTTAGCACGAGCGCAGGGGAAGCCGCGGGCGAGTTACGTTCGACTCCACTCCTCGGCGCTCGGCGCGTTCAATGGAAGCGCCGGGAAATTGGGTCACCGGCAGATAGGTCGTCTTGACAGGTGAACAAAACCGTTGGCGGCAGGGAGGGACGAACGGACGGACGGATGGATGGTCGGGCGACGGAGAGAGAGGGCGAGGGGGGGAGCCCTGATACCGCGGCGGAAATTAAAGTCGACCGACTGCGACCTCGGGAGAGATACGAGCGAGAAAGAGTCGCCGAGATCGAAGCCAATCGAGCGAGGTTTCGACGACGCCCCGCGCGCGAAATATCGTCTCGCGGGGGAGGGGGATTAAGCTCGCCGACGGACCGTGAGAGAAATTGGGCGAGAGAGAGAGAGAGAGGGAGGGTTGGCTGCGGACGCGCGATTCAATGAGATAAGTACGGCGGGACACGCTCGTCAGCGACGACGGCGACGACGCGGCAATCGATGCCGGTAGGGCCCGTACGGCCACCGCGAGCGACACGGCGGCGGCGGCGGCGACGACGACGCCGCCGCCGCCGCCGCCACCGCCGCCGTCATCACGCCGCAACACGAGCCCTACGGGTGGGCACGATCGTTATTGACAGCGCGACTCACCGTCGCGACGCACCGGCACCAATGGGTCACCATGGTACATCCCATCCTGTATACTACTGTATACGGTATGAGAGAAAGAGAGAGATAAACCGAGGCGGTGCACGCCATTTTTATCCCGACACCAATATCCACCCGAGCCGAGGCGGCGACTCGGCGAAGTCCGCGCTTCCTCCCGTCCGTTCGCGTTTCCGCCGAAACACGCCGGAGGCCCGGGCGAGCCCGCACAAAACCGCCGGGTTTTTACTTACCCTCGCGTAAGGACACCCCGCGACACCGTCCCGCCTCGCAACTCGCATAAAAGTCCCGGCCCGGTACACCAAAATACCACCAAATAACGATCCAACACCGATCCCGCCCGTCCACACACTCGACCGGCGCGCAACCGACTGAGCGGCGCGCGGCGCGCACCTACGCCGCCGCAGCTAGTCCCTTCGCGCAAAAAGCGGCGCCGCACGCGCTGACCCGGTCGAATGGCGGAAAATTGGAAAAAACCAAATGGAGACGCGCGCGCGCGCGCGCGCTTGCCCGTCTAACCGGCGATTTCGTCTCGGATCTCGGACCGCGATCCGAATATCGAACCGGAAGAATCGCTCTCTGTGACAAGCGGCGGGGATTCGTGGGAAAATCGGTACAGTACGCGGTGTCAAACGTGTCGACACTCCGCCGTGCGACGTGAGAGACTCATGATTGAACGTCGGTCCTCTATGTTGCATTGTACGTCTAAAAGATGAAATTGATATTTCGAGCACCGGAAGGAAAAAATAAAAAAAATCCGGCTATAAAATGCAGTTCCTGTCTTCCGAAATGCCGACCGGATAAAAAAAGCCAACGTAACTGCGAGAACAATGTGTTAAAAGATTTTTTTGAGAGGCAAATCGACTTGATGTGATATTATTTTTAAGAAATAAAAACTTTCTTAAAAGAAGCGAAATTTTTTCTTCAAAGATATATATGTATTTTTTTTATTTTGACAATTCGGCTTTACAAAATCATCGTTCTATAATTCGATTATAATTCGTAAGTGCAACGTCGAGACGGAATCTATGATTTTAAAAGTATATATTCGTCTATATAAATAATTGTATTTGCAAATAATATAACGTTTTAATTTTATTTATACGCGTACAGAATTTTGCGTATTAAAAAATATCTCTCTTTAGAATGAGTAAATAAAAATCTTAAAAAAAAAATTAAGTCTAAGAAATTAGGTTTTCGAGGGGAAAGACCGTTTAAATTTTGCGCTTATTTAAATCGTAAATCTTGAAATAAAATATTATAATTTTCCGAAATTTAAAGCAGATAAAAAAATGTCTGAACGAAATTGGCGTAAACGAGATTTTTAATTAAACATAAACGAAGCAAATCAACTCCCGGCAGAGATGCGACGTGGCGTCGCGCCTCGGACGACCGCGAAGCATTCTCATCTGTACTGTACCTGTCTCTCGGCCTGTCTTACGCCGGCCGGCGTAGGAATACATGAATCGCTTATGACATCATCAATCCGTATTCTGGACCGCGGTCACGCCCCATCCTCCGGGTTGCGCTCGTAACAGCCTCTCAACTCTTTTTCTCCTTCCCCATTATTATGCAGACGCGTGCCACGTTCGCTGTCGTTGTTCCGCGTCGCTCGCGCGGAAAGGGGACCCGCGGTCGCCCTCGCGGAGGAGCCGCACCGGCTTCCGAAATCCGGCAAATCTCGATTTCGAATGTCACGCGGGCGATTATGCAGCCAATCGCGTTTCGGCATCGAAACACCCGCAGAGGAATTCAAATCATTTAGAACGCGACGCTGTGCTCTCGAAGTTCTTTTTTTTTTTTTTTCAAATTTTATTTCGCGCCTTCGATCGCTTCAATCTTATCGTCGCGAAGATTTCGATCGATAAAATACATCTCGCGTATTTTATGATTCATAGTTTTTTTTTGTTTGCACTCTCATTTTTATAGGATTTAACAGATGCACCATAAAAAAAAAGAAAGAAACCGCAATGGTTGACCGAAGAAATTTCTTGCGAGAAGTAATTTTACTGGTAATTTTTAATAAGCGGCTGCAGAGAGTGGATAAAGTTTTTGAGTTTTGCGTAACAGTACGTGTATCGGAATTTCGTTATTGCGAAATTCGTATACATATATACATATAAAATGTGTATATCTCTATACTCGATGTATATACAATCCTAAACTTATGCACAATAATGAGACTTGTGACTGTAAATCTTGCGACTTCGCCTTTACCCCTTGCGATCTTGACATGAGTAATGCACTATGTCGCCATTGGGATACCTCGCAAAAGCGCTAAGAAAAACAGAACTGATTAGTATCGTAAATCGATTTACGAGGCCTACATCTACATGCGCAATGAATATTTGAAGTTACAAGATACGAACCTTTGGTTGCCAAATCGTTTTTTACAAACTGGACATATATTAAATTCTGTCATGAGGACACTCTGCGATTCGTAGTGCATCCGTTGCTCCTGCACTTGTAAATGCTCCGCGTAAAGCAGCCCTTTGAGAACCTGCGTTCGCCGCCTCGCGTTCAAGTTATTTTGCAAGCTAACTTCCAGAAAGTGTTTTATTCTGCCGATAGGAACGGAATCCGGTAGAACCTGCAGAACTTTCATCGGATTTATCTTTGAGGCGTGCTCCTCCAGCAGTCGAAGGGCCATCTCTAAATCTGGCTGTGTCGTTCTTTGAATTTCTGGACTGCAACCTTGAAGAGAGTAAAGACATTTAGAAATATATATAGAAATAAAAAACAATTAGAACATTCAACCGCAAAATAATATAGATGTAAAATCTTGTTTACGTCAATATTTACCAGCCATTAAAATTCCTTCATTGTCGGGTTTCAATAACTGCTGAATCAGCAAAACGTACACTTCATCGGCGTTATCCGTTTGCTTTTGCTTCTCCATTGTACGATCTTGATCTTAAAGTAATACTCAAATAATTACATTATTTCTTTACACGATTAAATGCTCAAAATCACTTTAAGATTCACTTACTTTGATACTTTGTATATACATTTTGGCAATATTGCATTGCGCGCGGTATATCATTTAAAAGACTAACGTATATCGATATAGCTTGCTGATGACGACCGAGTCGTCCGAGTATAATCGCCCGTTCCTCGAACAGGCTGTCAAATGGAAAATGCACCAATATCGTTTCCGGCGTATATTGCGTCGATTTCTCCAGGAATTGTTGTAACTTTTGCCGGATATGCTGCGAAGTCTCCTTCTCCGCCGGCGTCGCGCTCGCATTCATGGAGGCCAGACACTTCTCCTTGTACTGATGTATCAAAACGTTATGGAACAGTGGATTGGTGTCCTCCCAAACATGTACTACATGTTCTAAGTATTGTATCACTAAGTCTTTGTGGAAACGCAGAAGGTAATCCAGTATCTTTGGTCTAGGTAAGTGTTCAACTTCCTGCAAGTCCGGCACAAATAAGCGTAAGAGAAATATTAAATGAAAACCAAAACGGAGAGATACGGTACCTGTATGTCCTCCATAAATATTCTAAGGCCCTGCTCCGGATCCTCCGTTAATACCCATCCGGCAAATTTCAGTATCAGATCCATATGATCCTTGCCGAGATGCTGCAAATACTGTATAGTTCTCTCAGTGCCTTTCAGACTAGAATCGTTTTCCTTCGCGTGCTTCTCCAGCAGCTCCAACGCTTTCTTGTGCTGCCCTTTGGTCTGATACAATATAATGAGCTCCGGGTACTTCTGATGCATCAATAAAGTTTTCTCAGCTTCCGCCAAGTGACAGTGATTCAGTCTAAGTAAAGGCGCCACTAAGGCGTCAGTGGTCTGAAAAACGAAATTCGTTCGACGTTCACTCTATGGAAACAGCACGAGATGCGTTTTCCAAGCACACTTTTTTTTTCCTTTACCTGCAGATAGCATTTTAAAAGGGTCGTATCTATAATCTTCAGAAGCTGTTCCGTAGCTACCGCGGTCAGATTCTTCTCCCCGTTTACTCCATTTTTCTCCTTGCCAAGCTCTTTGTCTTTCGCCATCAGCTTATGCCTGACCTCAGTTAGAAATACTATCAACGCACGTAAGCCCTTTTCTAAATCGTGATCTTGCAGCTTCGGCAAATTGGGCGCTGGTTCGCTGAGTTCGTTGGTCGAGGGCGAAACTAAATCTGGAAACAATCTGATCACCTCGTATGGATCGGTTCCCAGTTTCAAGAACAAATCCATCGCCTCTTGAAATCGCTTATTGTAGAACAGATGATGCGCGTACAACGTTTGTATTTTATACGTTTGTTTGGTTTTCTCCTCATCTGTTATATCTGATAAATTCTAAAATGCATACGAATAATATTGCATTACGAAACACAAAACTGTAATCTACGTTGACATTAGATATAATTAACGTACGGTCAATTTTAGTGCCAACTGAAACTGATTTTGCTCCAGCAAAGTCCTAATTTGTAAAGTAACATCAATTGCCTTGACACACCAAATTTGACTGATGGACGCCATGTAGACTCTCCCCTGCTTGCAACGGTATATAAGTCTAGCTTTATTTAGATCCTTTATTGTCTGAATATGTAGACATCCTTCCAATGTGTACACCTCCAATCTGTCGTGCACAATACCAAGTAAGTAAGGATCATCCCACGCTAAAATACATTATGGAAAAGTTTGATTAATCACAAAAAAAAAAGAGATAGAAAAACAGTGACAACAAAGTCTATTCTCCATACCTATCGCACTAGGTGTATCCGACCACTTTACCGGGTTATGCTGAACCAACTCTCCTTTCGTGTCCATAATAAACGACTGAGAATCTTTGCCCAGGACAAAAGAGCTGTCTGATAATTTCGTAACGCTTGGCTCTGGAGATTTGCCAGTGGGAAAGAGCTCCTTAGGTTTATCGTTTAGGTCGTAAATCGTATAGGACAATCCACGAAATCCTAATACTAACGTTTCGCCGCACCTCAATAATTAATTTAACGATTAATAAAGGCATTATATAAGGCTGAAATGTTTCGACAATAATCTTTCAGTTATGCGTTACCATGACAATTGACGAGGTATATCCGGCACGGTCAACTCAAAATCCTTGAACTCCTCGAACTTCTTGCCCTTCCAATAATACAGCTGTAATTTACGTTTGACAGCGACACACAAACGCACCACGGTGTTCTTCTCTCCCGTCAGGCTTTGAGTCGACTGAACCTCCAGGGTGAACAGAGTGGCGCCGCGAGTCTTTGGTAATTGACATATTTGTTGAAAGTTTGGCGAATTCAAGTCGTGAATGCACACAATGTTATCTGTAATTTTTCACAGTTAGACTATGAGAGACAGAGATGTTTGCGGTCCGATGAATTGACTCATTCGCGACATCAACTCCAGTATACCTGTTAGGATGATCAATAGATTGTATTCCGGCACAACGTCTATCTGATTGATGCGTTTCTTGTTAAAATTCTTGCTGTGACGTAGCAATTCCAGCTTGTGGCTGTCGTCGAACACCGATGGAACATTGTACATAAGAAGATGACCCTCCCTGGTGCCTATCAGCAAGTTGTCATCTGAAACAATTGGCAATTCAATAAATGACCCCTGGTCCTTAATGGAAATTCCTGACAATCCCCGTCGCATGACCAACCCCTGGGTCAAGTCTTACCATAAGCAGCCATAGACTCAATCTGCACGGTGATATTTAATATCGACGTTTCCTCGTAAGCGTCGTGCATCGTTGCGGTTTTAGAAAAAAAAAAGGATTATCACGCTCTAGCAAATGAATTTTTCAAACTGTTAATGTTTACTCGAGTCGTCGGCGGTCGACAACACATCCGACTATCCGAGTGCATTATTCCACTGCATTCACCTAAACCAACCTAAACGCAGTTTTTGACAAGCATCACACAACAATCGCACAAAACCGTGGAATCGTGGGCTGAACGGACCTTAATGATTTTGAGAACGCAGCTTAACAATGCTCGTCCAATTAGAATCCCGCGTTTTGCGCCACGCTGGTAAACATCTCATTCAGATTGCGGTTGCGAGATTTCTTTAAAATTGTTATTTGTTTTTCTCTACTTTTTTTTTTATCATTACGCCGGCCTCTTATCTCCGCCAACAATTGTACTTTATCATTGTTGATTGTGGTCTGAAAGCGACCACCGAAGGTCGCGTCACTTATATAGTCAAAGGTATAAATAGGCGTGTGAGAAGCGGGACATAAGTGCAATACACAATAGTATTACACTTGCACGGAATATGACGGGGCGTGTTGCTGTGGTACGTAATTGCGCAATAATTTCGCGATGTAAAAGTACAGAATCTTTGCATTTCTATCGTCGATTATCTTCTCCAGAAGATTGACGATAGTCTGTTCTTTGTAGCTACATTCGATTTCCTTATATTTTTTGCACCTAAAATGAAATACATGCTTGAATGTTGGAGAGAAAAAAAACAGAAAAAGATGAGATAAAAGTTTGACTGCAAAGAACAAGCCTGTAAATTTTTATACTTTGTAGTTGGATTGTCCGTACTTTTTATTTTTTCTTTTTCTATATAGATCTTAATTTATAATAATATTGTTGCAAATAATATTGTCATTCAGGTGACTGGTGGAAACAAGGGTATCGGCTTTGCCATCGTCAAAGCCCTCTGCCAGCAGTTCAATGGGATTGTTTACTTGACAGCCCGCGATACTACTCGTGGCTTGAACGCTGTCAGTGAATTGAAGAAGCAAGGCTTGGATCCAAAGTTTCATCAATTGGATATCACCGATGACAACAGTGTCTATACATTCCGGGATTACTTACAGGATACGTATGGCGGTCTTGATGTACTGGTTAACAATGCCGCCATAGCGTTTAAAGTAATTAAAAATAATATATGTAGTTATACATTAATTAATAATCAAATTATAGACATTATAAATATAATAGAGGCAGTATTTGACATTAACTATTTATAATTCTTTATTTTTGCGAAACGCGATTATTTTTTAAAGAATAAGTTAACTTTAAACTTCAAATAGGAAAAAATTTAACATTTTTTTCATATTTGTATTATATATTTTGATATCAAGTTGAATATGACGCTATTTTGTGAAAATGAATTGTCGGAAGGTATATAATGAAATTTATGCTTATTAAAGATGAATGCTACAGAACCTTTTGAAGTCCAAGCGGAAGAAACAATACGAGTAAACTACTTCAGTTTGCGTAGAGTTTGTACTGCTCTCTATCCTCTACTCAGATTGCATGCCCGGGTGGTTCACGTCTCGAGCAGTTCTGGACGTTTGCGCAACATTAATGGTACTGCATTAAAACAGAAATTGGCTGATCCCAATCTGACTGAAACGGAATTGGACGAAATCATGCGCGAATTTGTCGAGTAAGCTTTATCATTTAAAAAAAAATTGATTACACGTTAATTCGGAGATTTTTCGAGATTTATATTATACATTTATTTTCAGGGCTGCGAAAGCTGGTACGCATTTACAAGCCGGTTGGTCAAATTCAGCGTATGTGGCGAGTAAAATCGGTGTTTCCGCCTTGGCTGGCATTCAGCAAACCATGTTCAATGCGGATTCTCGGGAAGACATTGCGGTGAATGCGGTACATCCTGGTTACGTGGATACCGATATGACTAACCACAAGGGTGACCTGACACCAGATCAAGGTGCCATAGCTCCCGTTTACTGCGCACTGTTGCCGGAGAATACAGAGATAAAAGGGAAATATATCTGGTGCGATACGACATTGGCAGAATGGAAGTAAACATATACAACGGATGGATAAACTGGATTGAACTACTAATTCCTATGATGCATGACAATGAAACGGATGTTACATACTAATTATTATCACATCGAATACTTTACAATTTCTATATTTTTATCATATTAAATACTCTAAAAAAAGGAGAAAGGATAATAACTCACGAAGAAATGTATAAGCTATTTTGTTACAAATATCTTATTTTAAAACAACCAAATAAAAATATATATTGAAGACTGTTACATTAATATTCACATTTAAAAAAAAAACTGAATAACGCGAGATGATTGCATATATTATTTCTACACTAAATACGAAATGTACGTAATAATCGGAGAGAGGAAATAGATTCTTAATTGTAAGCAATATGTTTAATAAAGCTACAAGCTATCTCGCTTGAGCGTTCATCGCTTCCCTCCGTGCTGCTTCAGTTAGAAGATGGATGTCTACCTCATCCACTGGAAGTTGTACGTATCGTACAACGGATCCACGGATGAAACAATTTTTCACCGATAACTGCAATTTAATATACAATACATTAATTATATTATTAATAATTATATTATGAATTGCACATTTATTTTAATAATTATACTGCACAAGTGTCATCGACTGCTCCAATTTGCATAGCGTCATTGATTTAAATTAGCCTGATAATGTCAATGGCAATTAACATACCATATGAGGATACTTCTCTGAATCCGTTACACTAATGTCGGCCAATTTTATGTTTAGATATTGATCGACGGAATATAACGTGCCGCAAATACTGAAACACAAAATATAACATTGCAGGATCAGTGTCAAAATGCTCAAAATGTAATCATGTCGCCACGCCAATATAGAAAAAATTAGTACACAAATAAAAAATTAGCATTTTTGAGAAAATTAAAGAAAATCAATCCTGAAAAATTTTGAAGTCAATATATCATATTGTGATGTACATTTTACCTGAGGTCGTTCTTCAATTCGACCACCACGTCCTTGCCAATCAAGGATTTGAAGAAGGAATAGAACAGCTGAAATTAAAAAACACTCAGTTAAACGTGATAGACAACCGGACGTTAATCCACAGAAAGCCGGATGTTACTTATCTCTGTTCTATCGCGAAAAAAAACAATCGCGTTAAGACTTACCATGATTAATTTGCGAGAGATTACCTGCGGTCGTACGCGCTAATTCACAAATATTTACAATGATAAATACGTCGCAAACAAATGTCGGCGGCAAAATTATAACCTATTAACACAGTCACGAAGCATTCGAAGCATCGACGTCCGACAAATATGAGCATCTTCTTCTTCTAAAATGGCTACCGCCCCCACGAGGGGCTATACAGCCATAGAACTTATAGTACACTGAACAGCAATAATTCGAAGGGTCATAGAAGAGTGGTGAACTTACCGACGTTGGGTCGATAACGACGAATCCGCACGTACGGTAATTTGGAAAAGACATCAGTAGTAATTGTATTTCAGACAATGAATAATACATAACCGATTTTCTCTTAGTTATACTTTTCTTTCTTTTTAGTTGAATTTGGATTAAAGTATTTTTATTGTTAATTATGTTTAAAAGTTATGGATATTAAACATAATGGGAAAAATGAATGGTAAAATTGAAATTTAACGCGACTTTAACACTTTCTAATTTTAAATATAAAATTGAATTAAATCTTATTACAAATTGTTTTATTACGTATATTTAATATTATATTGATATAACTGCATACACAAATTATTAACGCCGAATCGCATGAATATATCGTATCTGATCCGTTATGTTATGCTTACACCGCTCTAGATCTATCTGTATAAATTTATTTATTTATTTATTATAGTTTATAATATATTATTTTATACATTGCACAGAAAAAATATATACACATAACATAACAGAGAGGTACGAGCATGAAGAAATGGGAAGGATAAAGAAATAGGTCATTTAATAATAATAATAATAATAATAATAATAATAATAATACTCCCGAATGACGGCCTCCTTGGAGGTCTCTCAACGACACGCAGACGGGGTCCATTGTGTCTTCCCGGCCGTATTAACTCTAGGTCAGCCGATACCTGTAACCCCCCAGAAACGGAGGAGGTCCCTGACCTGGAGTTGCCAAACCTGCTCGGGCACGAGAAAATCCGAGCCCAATAGGAGTCGTCTGTGCCCAGCGTAAGCCGAGCATTCGCAAAGCACGTGGAGACTAATCTCTTCGTCACCTCCGCACCTTCTGCACTCCGGGGTGTCACAGTGCCCCAGTTTGTGCATGTGGTAGTTGGTAAAGCCATGGCCCGTGTAGATCTGCACTACCAGCCTGGCTTCCTTTCTCTTCAAGACCCTGATGTTCCTAGCAAGGTCCCTTCTGGGTGCTTCTCCCAGGAGAG